ACGAGCAAAATAATGACAATGAATCATACCCTTCATCCACGCAATGACATTGATAGACTTTATCTACCAAGGCAAATAGGTGGGCGTGGAATGCTACAAGTACATCAGATGGTTGAAGAAGAAAAAATGGCTTTGGAAGAATATCTGAAGAACAATGATGAGGATGCACTGAAATTAGTATATCAGGAAGGCTTACTAACTACTGGAGAGACAAAACTGGCCTACAAGAAAGACCAAATGAAGAACAGAATAGAGGAATAGAAGACAAAGCACTACATGGCCAATATATAAAAAAAGCTGGGAAAGCAGATAATAACAAGACCTCGGCAAAATGGCTAAGAGCAGGAAAATTGAAGAAAGAGGACGAGGGACTAATTCTGGCTGCACAAAGAACCAAGCCTTAAGGACAAATGCATACAAAGTCAAAATTGAGAAGTCCCAGCAAAAGAACAGTAAGGCCGCCTATGCAAAGAAGCTGAAGAACAGTGGACTAACTGGTAAGCTGTTGCAAAGAGATTGCACAAACTGATTACAAGCAGCGGCATGACAAAGTAGCAACATTGGTGCATTGGAAGATCTGCAAAAAATATCATTTGCCTGTAAGCAAAAACTGGTGGGATCATAAAATAGAGAAAGTCATAGAAAATGATAAAATTAAACTGCTCTGGGACTTCAGAATTCAAACAGACAAGCAACTGCAACATAACACCCCAGACTTAACAATTGTCGATAAGAAAGACAAAAAAGTCTGGATAGTGGACGTGGCAGTGCCTGGAGATAGCAGAATAGAAGAGAAAGAACTGGAGAAGATAACAAATACAAAGACCTACAAATAGAAATATAAAGACTGTGGCAAAAGCAAGAAGGGTGTACCAATAGTAATAGGCTCCTTGGGTGCAATCCCAAAACAACTGGAGCAGCACTTGAACAGCATTGGTTGGCATTGACAAATTTGCTATTAGTTAATTGCAAAAGGCGGCCTTATAGGAACTGCTTCCATCCTGCGACGAGATCTGTAATACCATCAAACATCCACATCTGCCTATCCCAGGTCCTGGGTAAGGACTCGATAGGTAGACAAAATGCCAAATACAGTCTGAACATCTGGCTGACTGTGCGATGATCCATAATAATAATAATCCACAGTGAGGCATTACCTTGACGTGGTTGTGGGGCTTGTGTACTCTGAGGAAGATGAGAGCTATGCCAGAGGTTCAACCATACTGGACAGGTCTCATCAGAGGAGTCAGACAAAGAGTGTCTCTCCCATAAAAAATATGATGAGACGTAATTTTCAGAATGCCATATCGACTCGGATGTCACCCGGGTTAACAAGGTCCGTGCTAGAGATTGGAGTTCCTGGATATCTGGTGAAAAATGGGTTACAGGACTCAGGACTGTTGCTCAGGGCCAGCAGCTGCAGAATACGGACGAAAGTGTTACCGTCCGCAGATACACAGTGATGAAAACAAAGAAATAAGTTATACGATCAAGTCCAACAAGAAGAGGATATCTAAAATGAATGCACCAGTTCTGGAAAGAACAACATCCAGAATCAGAAATAACAGAACAGAGACTAGCAGATCAACGCCGATTTATAATACAAAATAAAGTATTCACAGAAACAGAATTGGACGAACTGCAAAGGTTACCCAGGGCAAAGAAATCAAAGCCTTACCAGAAGTAATTCAGAATGTAGAGGCAAACCAGGGGAAGTTGGCAGTGAAGGAATCTAGCAGAGATATACAACTGTTTTCATTTGGAAACCAGGCACCTCTACCTCAGGAAGAACAAAACCCTCTAACTAAAGAACTAAAAGAATTGAAACAAAGAATAACTGAGCATCTAGAACAGCACAAAAACAACAGAATAAGGCTACCTGCATTGAAGCTTGTTCCAAAGAAACAGCTAGCACAAGCATTAAAAGATGCAAATACTGCAATATCAAGTATAAGCCCCAATTCACTGCAAGAAACAAACCAACTAATGTACAGCACAGCTGCAGTTATAACTGAATACCTGGGATGCAAAATCAACAAAGAAGAAAAACAAACAAACAGGGCACCAGAAAAATGGAAGGTTAGACTAGAAAATAAGACCAGCTAGTTAAGATCACATGCAAGCACGCTAGAACAGATGAAAGAAAAGAAGCTGAAGAACAAGAAGACCAAAGAATACCTAAATCAAGAAATACCACTTGAAACAAGGAAGATAAGGAAAGCACTGGAAATAAAAAAATTAAAGCAAACAAATAACAGCTATAGCCAGGAAATCAGTAGATAGAAGCTCGATGCAAAACTATAGGCAGAACCTCCAATTTCAATCCAATCAGAAACGTTTCTACCAATCCATCAAGGGAGAAACTGCAAGGAATCAGTCAGTACCTGACAAGGAAGAACAGTGCAGTTCTGGAAGCAGATATGGGATAACCCAAAGAAATACAACAAGGATGCGGCTTGGTTAAAAGAGGTGGATGCAAATAAAACAGAAGCTGAAATGAAAGAACTAGTAATAACAACAAAAATGTAGAAAAAAGAGCAAGGAAAATCAAAAATTGGTCAGCACCAGGTGAAGATGAACTGCATGGGTTTTGGTTGAAACATCTAACTGTTATACACCCACTCATTGCCAAACAGTTCAACAATATACTACAAGGAAGAGAAATTGAAAAGTGGCTAACAACTGGGAAAACCTACCTAATAATGAAAAATCCAGCAAAAGGGGCAACACCAGGTAACTACAGGCCAATTACCTGCTTACCAACAACTTTCAAATTACTAACTGGTGTGGTAGCTGATGCAGTACAACAGCATCTAGTTGAAAACAATCTCTTTCCACCTGAGCAGAAAGGAAACCGCCCCAATAGCAGAGGAACAAAAGATCAACTCCTAATAGACAAAATGATCTTGGAAAACTGCAAGAGAAGGAAGACCAACCTGAATGTGGCATGGATTGACTACAAAAAGGCATTTGACTCTCTGCCACATGATGGATAATAAAGTGCCTAGAAATAACAGGAGTCAGTAGAAACATCAGAAAATTTGTGCAAAGATCGATGGCACAATGGAAGACACAGTTGCAGATCAATGGTGAGAAGCTGGGAGAGGTTAATATCAAGAGAGGGATATTTCAAGGAGATTCATTATCACCATTACTATATGTTATTGCACTGTTTCCTCTGTCAACAATACTGAATAACTCAGGACATGGTTATCAAACATCAAAAACATCTGCTAGACGATCCCACCTCCTTTACATGGATGATCTGAAGCTGTATGGAAAAACATCATCTGAAATAGAATCGCTGCTCAACACTGTCCGTATATATAGCCAAGATATTGTAATGGAGTTTGGCTTGGACAAATGTGCCACACTTACTATCAAACAAGGAAAAATAGTGAAAACTGAAGGAATCAAGATGCCCCACGAAAATAACATTAAGAGTCTGGATGAGGAAGATTACTACAAATACTTGGGTATCCTTCAAGCTGACAACATCAAGCACACTGAAGTCAAGAAAAAGATTAGAGGTGAATACATCAAGAGAGTGAAGAAGATCTTAAAGTCCAAACTCAATGGAGGAAATACCATAAAGGCAATCAACACCTGGGCAATCCCAATTAGGTACACAGCTGGAATAGTGGACTGGACTCAAGCAGAACTAAAAGCAATGGATAGGCAGACCAGAAAAATAATGACAATGAATCACGCCCTTCATCCACGCAGTGACATTGATAGACTTTATCTACCAAGGCAAATAGGTGGGCGTGGAATGCTACAAGTACATCAGATGGTTGAAGAAGAAAAAATGGCTTTGGAAGAATATCTGAAGAACAATGATGAAGATGCACTGAAATTAGTATATCAGGAAGGCTTACTAACTACTGGAGAGACCAAACTGGCCTACAAGAAAGACCAAATGAAGAACAGAATAGAGGCATGGGAAGACAAAGCACTACATGGCCAATACATGAAAAAAATAGCTGGGAAAGCAGATAATAATAAAACCTGGCAATGGCTAAGAGCAGGAAAATTGAAGAAAGAGACCGAGGGACTAATTCTGGCTGCACAAGACCAAGCCTTAAGGACAAATGCATACAAAGTCAAAATTGAGAAGACAGCAACAGACAGTAAGTGCCGCCTATGCAAAGAAGCTGAAGAAACAGTGGACCACTTGGTAAGCTGTTGCAAGAAGATTGCACAGACTGATTACAAGCAGCGGCATGACAAAGTAGCAACAATGGTGCATTGGAAGATCTGCAAAAAATATCATTTGCCTGTAAGCAAAAACTGGTGGGATCATAAAATAGAGACAGTCATAGAAAATGATAAAATTAAACTGCTCTGGGACTTCAGAATTCAAACAGACAAGCACCTGCAACATAACACCCCAGACTTAACAATTGTCGATAAGAAAGACAAAAAAGTCTGGATAGTGGACGTGGCAGTGCCTGGAGACAGCAGAATAGAAGAGAAAGAACTGGAGAAGATAACAAAATACAAAGACCTACAAATAGAAATAGAAAGACTGTGGCAAAAGCAAGCAAGGGTAGTACCAATAGTCATAGGCTCCTTGGGCGCAATCCCAAAACAACTGGAGCACCACTTGAACACCATTGGCATTGACAAATTTGCTATTAGTCAATTGCAAAAGGCGGCCTTATTAGGAACTGCTTCCATCCTGCGACGATACCTGTAATACCATCAAACATCCACATCTGCCTATCCCAGGTCCTGGGTAAGGACTCGATAGGTAGACAAAATGCCAAATCCAGTCTGAACATCTGGCTGACTGTGCGATGATTGATAATAATAATAATAATGTGGGAAGGGACCTTGGAGGTCATCTAGTCCAACCCCCTGCTCAGGCAGGAACCCTACACCATTTCGGACAAATGGACAAATTTATAGCTCAGGATTGAAATGAGAAGTTCTTAATCACCCAAACTATGTAACATCATCAATGCTTCCATCTAAGACCTGTGGACTTCAACTCCCAAAATTCCTCAGCCAACATGGCACAAGTCTTAAAGTTGCCAAGGTTGAACCCCTCTGACTTGAACCAAAGTAACTGTACTTACAAACATGGTCTGCCTATGTCAGTGTGAGCCATTTATAGCTTTGTGAAGCAAAAACATGAATGGCTCTTTAAAACTGTGCACTGTGTTTAGCTTTAATACGTTTAGTTCTATCTAACGTGCACACATGTTAACACATACAGTGCGGCTATAGTATTGTTATTTATCCTTTTTTTTTCTCTTCTTCACTTCACACCCATTACTGGTGTTCTTACTACTACCGTATTATTCTCTCTGTTGCTTTGCAAGTAGACCGAATGGTTCCGTACCCGGAGACAAATTCTTTATGTGTCTAATCACGTTGGCCCAAATGAAGTACTCAATTCAAATCAATTCAATTCAACGATAGCAGCTTTTCAACCCATTTGATTTCTGGTGTGATTTAATCATTCAGGGCAGCAAAGATGAGTAACCAACGCTTTTGCGTGTCTCTTTGTGTTCTGCTCCTTTCAGATCGCGAGAAGAGTGATAACTTTGCCGAGAAGAGGCCTCTCCTTGCTCTGTGCAAAAGCATCGGATCTTCTGGGTAAGATGATTACATCCAGAGGGCAGGTTTGCTCTATGGCAGTGATGGCGAACCTTTTAGAGACCGAGTGCCCAAACTGCAACCCAAAACCCGCTTATTTATCGCCGGGTGCCAGGTGGGCGTGGCCCACTGGGTGGGCGTGGCTATGGTGGTCATGGCAGACTGGGTGGATGTGGTCACCTCGATGTTGCTCATGGGGAGGGACGCCTGTGGGGGCCAGGCAGGGTTGGGGGAGATCCAAGGGGTCTCTGGCAGGTGGGGCGGTGGGCAGGAGGCTGGTCCTGCAGAGTGAGGTGAGGCAAGGCGAGGCAGGGTGGAGGTGCCATTGTCGCAGGGCAAGGCGAGGCAGGGGCCGGGGCAACTGCTGCCTGACACCATCGGCCCCCCACACAGAGGCCAGCGAGCGCATGAGGGCCGACAGTGTCCGCTAGCAGCCACAGCCTGCCGAACCCTTGACCGGTGCACTTTGGGGCTGTGCAGCCCACCGTGAGCAGTTTAGAGAAGCCGCCTCTGAGCTGGACACCGTCGGACAGCTGAGGAGGCGATGCAGTGCCTGGCAAAAGGAGAGCATGCAAGGCCAGGAAGGATGTGGGGGAGGGAAACCAGCCGTGCTGGGATGCATCTAGCCACGTAAGACCTCGGTGAGTTAGCAGGTGGCTACTTGAAGAGGGACGGTTGCCATCTTGGGAGCATGGCGCACGTGCCCACAGAGAGGGCTCTGAGTGCCGCCTCTGGCACGCGTGCCACAGGTTCGCCACCACTGCTCTATGGCCTTGTTGGCTTGTTATAATAAAGACAGCAAGGAGCCTAGCTGAGCCTTAAAAGACTTAATTGGCTCATTGTGGCAGATCCTGTGTGGGCCAGTTCCTATCTGATGTAGAGTGTGAACCTCTGTCTGCAATGAGTTTGGGACAGAGATCGCTCCCTGTTTTGGTCTCCGAAATAACATCTGCTTTCCTTCACAGTATATATATTTTTTCTGAACAAATGTCACCACCCTCGCCCTTCTAATTCATTTTGGTCTTTTCTACCCATCTCCTATAATTTTTCTGGTTTCCGTAATCGTAGTTGCGGTAAAGAAAGAAAATACTAGGTAGACTTCGACTTACGACCACACTGGAGCCCAAAATTTCAGTTGCGAAATGAGACAGTTGTGAGGTGAATTTGGCCCCATTTTACGATCTTTTTTTTTTTTTGGGCCACAGTTGTTTTAAGGGGAAGCCCTGCCGTCGTTAAGTGAGCAACACGGGTTGTTAAGTGAATCTGGCTTCCCCCTTGACTTTGCTTGTCAGAAAGACACAAACGGCGATCACATTTGTGACACTGCAACCGTCATAAGTAGATGCCAGTTGCCGAGCGCCCAAATTTTGATCACGTGACCACAGGGAGGCTGCCACGGTTGTAAGTGTGAAAAACGAACCTAAGTCTCTTTTTTCAGTGATGTTGTGACTTTGAACTGTTGTAGATTGAGGACTAGCTGTGATTGTTTACATTTCTGCAAGGAAGTAAACTCGGGTTTTATCTCAGGCTCCCTGACCTTATTCGTTTGTAATGAAATTTTTTTTTTAAATTAAAATACTAGTTGGAGTCTGACTAACCAGTGTTTAGGAACAAATATAGTGTGTACCATTTAAAAAAAAAAAACCAAACTGCAGCCCGCGAGCACATGAATCCCTGTTAAAAAAAATCCGCTCTCACGATAATCCAAATTCAGTGCCAAGAAAACCCCAATTTTGTATCTCTTGTCGATGCAGAGTAAACAGACGTACATGAGTCAATCTTATTCGCACAACTGCACATCTGCTTTTCGCAGAATGGAAGCAAAGAGTCATGCCGAACGCTTAAGCCTCATTTTTGATCAGCGAAGAGGTTATTCAGCTCATTAGCTATGCCACTTGGCGATTCTGAAAGTTGTATTGCAACATTATCCTTTAGGATATGTTTACAGCTCACAGGGCTGTTTACACTGGTGATTATATGCTTGTCAGGATGTTTATAATCCTACAGGCAGTGTTTTTGGTCAGAAAAACTTCATGTCTTCCTCGGACTATAACTGACGCTTTGCAGTCTGCCTGTTGTTCATTCTTACTTTCAGCAGCCCATCCTAAGGTAGCCTAAGAAGGACACGGGACTTTTTCCCATGAGTGTGTTTGTCTGGGGGGAACGTATAAAAAGGAATTTCCACCAATCCCTTCTGAATTGGGAGAGAAGTAAAATTCTGCGCCAAGTTTCGCAATTGGTCTTAATTTTCCATGCTTTGTTTTCAGAGTGCTACTTTCTCCAGGAAAAAAAGGTTTAAAGTAAGCAGTTTCTCTTGTCGCCGGGTTGAGATCCACAGATTGACACAAAGAAAAGGGAGGGAAGATAACTAGCCATTGATGCTGTAGTGCAGGGCTTTTCAACCCGTGGTACAGGTACCACCTGTGGTACATTGGCACCTGGCAGGTGGTACGCGACCATCCTAGAAAAGGGGTAGTGGGGGAGGGGAATGAGCTGAACCGCACAGGCAGCACCGCACAAGCCTGAGCGAGAGACGGCTGGAGCTGCAGGGCTGTCAGGGCTCAGCGGAAGCGCCAGGATCAGTGCCGCTTTCCAGCTGATTGGCACTTCTTTGTGGCTGTCAAGGCTCAGTAGAAGCACCAGGATCAGCGCCAGGCTCCAGCTGGAGCTCGGCGCTGATCCTGGTGCTTCTGCTGAGTCCTGAAGAAGCAACGATCAGCTGGAGCTCGGCGCTGATCCTGGCGCTTCTGCTGAGCCCAGAAGAAGCGCCGATCAGCTGGAATGTTGCAGCCTCTCCAGCGTCTTGTGATTTACATTCAGATGCTTGGCGACTGATTCATATTTATGACGGTCACAGTGTCCCAGAGTCATATGAAGTGACCGAAATCTGCTGCAACCACCCAGCGGGGGGGGGGGGAATAAAAACCAAACACCCCCCCACACCACCCCCGCTGCCAATCCTCAACAGAAATGCTCAAACAATAAAAACCTTGGGTAGGTGGAAGAGCACCGCCGGGCAGGCAGGCAGGTGTCTTGCTCGGCTGTGGCTTGGGGGGCACTTTTTTCAGTGCCATTGTAACTTCAAACAGTCACTAAGCCAGTGGTTCTCAACCTTTCTAATGCCGCGACCCCATAATACAGTTCCCCATATTGTGGTGACCCCCAACCACTTATACATCACCGGGTGCCAGGGGCGTGGCCAAAGAAAAGGGGAAAAAAATGGCGGTCAGTTTGGCGACCCCCGTGAAGTGGTCGTTCGACCCCAAATGGGGTCCCGACCCACAGGTTGAGAACCACTGCACTAAGCGAACTGTTGTAAGTCGAGGACTACCTGTACTTTATCACTTTTTTCCTTCTTCTTTTTTGGTCATCAAGTTTTTGACATCTTGCTAGGCGACTGGTGATACTCGGATATTGCCATATCCTAAAAGTGGTACAATGGGTGAAAAGGTTGAAAAGCCCTGCTGTAGTGTATGGTTAATGTGTTGGATCGGGACTGGACAGAACCAGATTTAAGTTCAACCTCAGCCCTGAAAACTCATCAGGGAAATTTGGGAGCAATTACAGGTAGCCCTTTCGGCTTACGACCACAGTTGAGCCCCAGATGTCCATTGCTAAGCAAGACAATTGTTTAAGCGATTCTGCAACATTTCCTGCCACAGTTGTTAAGTGAATCACTGCAGTTGTTAAGTTAGTAACATGGTTGTTAAGTGAATCCGGCTTCCCCATTGACTTTGCTGGTTTGAAGGTCGCCAAAGGGGACCACGTGACCCTAGAACACTGAAACCGTCATAAATATGAGTCAGTTGCCCAGTGTCTGAATTTTGATCATGTGACCACAAGGATGCTGCAACCGTTGTAAGTGTGAAAACTGGTCACACTTCCCTTTTTTCAGCACTGTCGTAAGTTTGAACAGTCACTAAATGAATGGTTGTAGGTTGAGGACCTGCCTGCAGCCTCCTTCTGCCCCCAAAACCCTCACGGGGTTGTTGTTTGGAAATCAAAACGAAGGATCTCTCCGTGTAAGCCACCAATCTGGAATTGCTAAGTTACTAACCCCAACCGGTGGTTAAGTGAATCTGGCTTCTCCATTGAATTTGCTTGTCATAAAGTCGCAAACGGTGGTGGCATGATTTTGGGACACTGCAGCCATCATAAACACGAGTCAATTGCCAAGCATCTCAATTTTGATCACGTGACCGTGGGAATGCTATAACAGAATACTACCACTTTACAAGGCCTTGGTAAGGCCACACTTGGAATACTGCAACCAGTTTTGGTCACCACGATGTAAAAAAGATGTTGAGACTCTAGAAAGAGTGCAGAGAAGAGCAACAAAGATGATTAGGGGACTGGAGGCTAAAACATATAAGGAACGGTTGCTAGAATTGGGTATGTCCAGTTTAAGGAAGAGAAGGACGAGGGGGGATATGATAGCAGTATTCCAATATCTCAGGGGCTGCCCCAAAGAAGAGGGAGTCAAGCTCTTCTCCAAAGCACCTGAAGGCAGGACAAGAAGAGATGGATGGAAACTCTTCAAGGAGAGAAGCAACCTAGAACTAAGGAGAAACTTCCTGACAGTGAGAACAATTAACCAGTGGAACAACCTGCCTCCAGAAGTGGTGAATGCTCCAACACTGGAAGTTTTTAAGAAGAGACTGGACAGCCATGTGTCTGAAATGGTATAGGGTTTCCTGCCTGAACAGGGGGTTGGACTAGATGACCTCCAAGGTCCCTTCCAACTTTTTTATTATTATTATTATTATTATTATTATTATTATTATTATTATTATTATTATTATTATTATTATTACTTTGCTTGTCAGAAGGTGGCCAAAAGTGATCACGTGACCCCGGGACTTTGCCACCGTCATGAATGTGAGTCAGTTGCCAAGCGTCCAAAGTTTGATCACATGGCCATAGGGATGCTGCAGCGGTCGTGACAAAAATGGTTGTAAGTCACTTTTTTCAGCATGGCTGGCTCAGGAATTCTGGGAGTT